CGTTCACAAAATTATCTAACCGCTTCCGTTTTCTAATAACGTTGATATTTCTTTCTCTATCAAGAATCTCCATTTCATTCCGAATGGAAACTAAACTGATGTTTGTTTGAATAAAAATCTTATTCCTTTATTAATAGTTGGTATCTGATTACAGTCACGAAATCTAAATTGACACAGACCATTTCTACATGATTAGACCTGCTTTGCTCCATATACTCAGTGGCTATATTATTAAAAAAGGCGTTTTATTTTATTTTTCGAGCAAAAGGTGTGCTTAAATGGTGACTACTCTTCGTCTCTAAGGTCAAGTGCGATTGTTGTTAAAATTCTGAGTATTTTCCTATAAAAGATGTCAACCGATTACACCAAAGAAATTTCGAAAGGGCTGTAAAAAACTAGAATTCTTTTAACAATCTAATATACGTATCTCTATTAAGCACTTATGAAGTACAATGCAAGGCCAATTCACCAGTACCCAAATGTCAAGCTTCACTAATCTCTAAATTAATATATATATATATATATTATGAAATGGACAAAGTCCGACAATTGTTTTAAGATAGTTTTATGTTTATACATTCCTTTTTTATAGATACAAATATTTTAATGAAATGATCTGTTTATAATAAACAGTATTAACAACATTTACCGGCCTGAATGTCCGAGAAATTGTCATAGAAAATATGCGTCCTCCGACAGGAATCGAACGTGTATCCTTTACGGAACTGTCTTATATCCTGACGTGCCTTAACTGATTGGGCCACAGAGGAGTGCTCGGCGAGCAAGGTCAATTTTACTGTTTTTAAACACAATTCTCCATGATTTTCTGTCGTACATTCATATAATTTATTTACATTTGAATATGCATCGAGAAAATATAAATGCACGCAAGAAAATCATGTAAAATTGTTGACCAGTTATCGTCATTAAAGATGTCTTCACACACACACATAGATAGATAGAGTAGATAGATAGATAGATAGAGTAGATAGATAGATAGAGTAGATAGATAGATAGATAGATAGATAGATAGATAGATAGGATAGATAGAGTAGATAGATAGAGTAGATAGATAGATAGGTAGATAGATAGATAGATAGATAGATAGAGTAGATAGATAGAGTAGATAGATAGAGTAGATAGATAGAGTAGATAGATAGAGTAGATAGATAGAGTAGATAGATAGAGTAGATAGATAGAGTAGATAGATAGAGTAGATAGATAGAGTAGATAGATAGATAGAGTTTGGCAGTAGCATCAGTTAAAAATCTAATCGTTAAAGAAAATGACAGATACACAGTGCGATGAGTAAATCGTCGCCATTTTATATTTTTAATTTCTAGCATGCGGGAGGAAAAAAAGCATCATGGCGCAATTCACTCCGCCAGAAATTTGGAAACGACGGAGTGTTTCCATGTCAATCTGAGGACAATTCATAAGATTCTGAAAGAGTTGGAGGAGTCTAATAGTGATTATGAAGGTGTTTGGAGTGATCACTAGTGATGGCGACTTTATGACTCCATTCCTCTTCCCACGGGCCTCAGAATAAACACGTAAACCTATATTAATTGCTTTGAGGAGGTAGTGCTACCCTGAGTCACGGGGCTGGCTGCGGGAGGACACTATGTCTTGCAACATTACGCTTCACCATGCCACACAAGTAGGAGAACTAAGTCATGACTGTCAGACAATTTCTATAACCAAATCACACTTTACATCTGGCCACTTAACTCCCCAGACTGCAACCCGCCTTGATTAATATGTTTGGGGCACAGTTGAGTGACAGACCAACAAAACTCCTTGTAACACTAAAAACGAACTGAAGGCAAGGATTATGACAGCATTCATCTACTTAAACAAGTGGACCGTCCATAAGTCTTCTGGAGGCCGTGGCAGAAGCCAACAGCGATTTTATTGGATAAAATTCCTCTTTAGTATTTCAAGAAAACTTTGTGAAATTTAGTAAATATATCTATTAATATGAAGAGGTGTTATTTTCATTTTTGTGTAATTTAGACGACAATTTATCCATTGCACCTTCTGTATATATAATGATCTTGAAATTAAAAATTGATTATATAGCACACTAAAACTACTTCAATGTGTCTCTACACAACTTCCTATCCATCTTTAGCTTTTTTTTCCTTTTGCTAAGGACCCACCATCTGTTCACCCAAACTTTTCAAGTGGGTGGCTTGATGCTTTTTTTTCCTATTTCTTTTCTCCTGTGATGGTTAAGTTTCCCACACCCTCATGTGTTTAAAATATTTCAGCTGTCTCTTCTTGATTCTGAGTATAAGAAGTTCTTTTCGTTGGTAATTTCTTTAAAATTTCTCCTGTTGTACCCATTATGAAACCGACTTTGGGCCACATTTTTTCACGGTGGACAGACAAAAAAATACTAATCTGGGAATGAGTTTTCCGGTTAGATGTTATCATCGCTCAGTTGCATGCCTGTCTTCTGTGCAAACAGATACTACTCTGGAAGTGAACCGTGTTGGACAGTGCAAGAGGATTGCCAGGCCACACCAAGGATTTTTGTTCAAGTTTCGTGTTTCGTTCCTCTTTGTTTCGGTTTGTGTTGTCTCAGTTACTTTCGTCCCATACGCTCGGTGTGCCCGTGTTTATGTCTTCTCCATTGCCCTGTTTGTCGTCATCCACTGTTTGATTCAGATGCTTCTGCATTTTCTGTCTCGCTTCGTTGGTAGAAACTGTGGCAGATGTGATGAGACAGAACCTGGGACGAGCACAACTGGTTGCGACTTGCCTTTTCCCCGCCCAAAAAAGAGCCCGTATTTGCTTAGCATGTAAAGCTACTGCAGTTGAAATGAGGGAGAAAAAACACTTATTGCTCTGCCGTTATCCGACCTCGGCCAGATAACGTAAAAGAATGAGGGGGGACTTCCATTGCATTTTTATGCAATAAAGATGCAATTCATTATGGGACATGGACGCAATGAATTATGGGATCACATGAAGCTGCAAGGGATTATGGGTATATGAACAAATATAAAAGTAACTTATTTTTCCCAGTGGTGGGGGGTCTTCGAGTGACGTTCACGGTTGGTAGCTGGAAAAGTCTGTTAGTGCGATTTTGAGACAGAACTCAAGAAGGAATGACTCGAGGTTGAAATACCAGCTGGGAGAGCTTGAATTTACTCGCTGGTTGCTGTTTTCTTTTTATTTCACCACAATCCAATAAGAAGAAAACCCCTTCACTATCGATTTTAATAATGAACAAAGAATAGCGTTGACCTTTGAACTCTTCACGTTCGCCAAAATAATATTGATACATTGATTTGCACTCTTAATGATGCAAACAAATTCAAATATTTTGTTATGTTCCTTTGGCAATTAATGTCTCAAGTCTCTTTAAAGAAGCATGAAGCATAATTATGTATTCTGTATAAGGAAGAAATTAGATTTTGTTTTAGAATTAAGACAATAATTGTTAAATACATATGTAAACACCTGTCTAGATCTCTGAGATGTATTATGATTACTTGCATTATTTACATTATTAGGACTGTTATTCTCATATTCATTGGCATATTCACAACGTATCGGCAGTTGTACGCCCCGAACTCCTTCAGGTGATTGGAATTTCGAACCGGACCTTTATTTCGTCCACCAGAGTAGATTGTTCTAGTTCCACATGCCATGCCTCTTCCGGATGTCTTAGTTATTTCCCTTAAACTCAACACTCCCAATATTTGGTTCACCACTGCTGTGGTATGGTATGAAACTCACAACTCTTTGGGTCTAGTCACTGGATCTAACCAACGTCTTTATCCCCCTGGCCATGTGTCCTTGAGTGGCCGAAACGTTGTGACTATGGCAATGAAGGTAAGGATAATAGTCCGAATAATGTAAATAAGACATGTAGCATATGTAAACGTCATGTAAATAAGACATGTAGCATATGTAAACGTCATGTAAATAATACATGTAGCATATATAAACGTCATGTAAATAATACATGTATAGCATATGTAAGCGTTTAAAAATAGCTTCATCTACTGCAAGGAATGTTGGTTCTGTGTGTCGCACCAGAAAGTTATTCTCGCCCGAGTCCCTCCTTCAAATCTATAAATCAACCATTCGTCCTTGCTTGGAATGCTACTGCCATATATGGTCTGGTGCCCCCGCTGTTCGTCTTAGGGTCCTTGGCAAAATCCAGAGACGGATATGCAGTATGGTTAACTCTGATCTGACATTTCGTTTACAGTCGCCCTCTCACAGGTGTGCCGTTGCCTCCATCTCTCTTTTCTACAAATAATTTCACGGTAACTGTTCCGACAAGCTATTTTCGCTATTTCCCAAACTGCATGAATTTAAACCTACCACTAGTTCGGCATCTCAGTCTCACCCTTTCACCGTCGAAAGGGTTAAATATAGCCGTCTCTTCTACTCAAATAGCTTCATGTCTCGCGCCTCCCATCTGTGGAACTCCATTCCTTGTACTTGCTTTCCTGATAGCTTTAATCTCCAACTGTTCAAATGCAACGTCAATCGACACTGCCAGATGCCTTGATCTAATTCCCTGACATTTTCTTCATCTTTTTCTCTGTCACGCCTCTTTACTCTTGCTCCCATTCTCAGTAAACCCTTAAGTGCTAGAGACACTCTCGCCTTGCATGAAATGCTTAAAAAATGTTTTAAAAAGATTTCATGCATATTTAATTCTTTATTTAAACAGAACATATTAATATCAGAACTGATACCATTTGGAGAAAATAATAGTTACAACAATTTAAGCAATTAGAATTCCGATTTCATTGAATATCATTTGCCTTTTTGCTTTTAGGTCAATACTGAATTCTTGTGTTTCACCAACCCCTCCTCACTTGACACCTCCGAAATGAAGACCATCTGTCAACTGTTCATTGAATAACATGAAAATGTTCAGTGGCAATAGAATTTATCATGATTGCTGTCTGTAACTGTGATGCCAAAACATGAATTATTCCAAGCTAAAGCTCTGAATTAATCATCAGTTTATGATAACGAGAAGTACGGCTTTAAAGATTTCACAGTAAGGTTTAATGTGTAAATTACGAGCAAACAATAAAGTTTTCTTAAATAAAATCTAGACGGTGAAGTCTTAGATGAAGAATTCTATTTTGTGGGTTGGTTGGTTGGTTGTTAGAACAGTCTAAAACAAAAGCAATATCAGAAAAATTTCTAGAGTTTACAATAATTTCCAGAATGACTGGCATCAGATGCGTTCACTAACGCTTAGTTCATTTGTTATGTTACCTTGGCAACGACAGAGATGACGAATACTGAAGTGCGGAGATTTACACCTCTCTCTCTCTTTGACATGCGCTTTTTCTTTCTTTCCTAGTTTCTCTCTCGCTCTTTCTTTGTCTCTCTTTCTCACTCTTTCTTTGTCTCTCTTTCTCACTCTTTCTTTGTCTCTCTTTCTCACTCTTTCTTTGTCTCTCTTTCTCACTCTCTTTCTCACTCTCTTTCGTAGTCTCTCTTTCGTAGTCTCTCTTTCTCACTCTCTTTCGTAGTCTCTCTTTCTCACTCTCTTTCGTAGTCTCTCTATTTCTTTTGATGTCTCTTTCTCTTTTGTAGTCTCTCTCTCACTCTCTTTCGTAGTCTTTTTCTTTCTTTTGTAGTCCCTTTCCCTCTTTTTTGTACTCTCTTTCCTTCTCTTTCATAGTATATTTCCCTCTCTTTCTTTCGTAGTTTCTCTTTCGTAATCTCTCTCTCTCTCTTTCATAGCATCTTTCTCTCACTCTTTTTCTTTCGTAGTTTCTCTATCGTAATCTCTCTCTCTCTCTTTCTTAGTATCTTTCCCTCTCTTTCGTAGTTTCTCTTTGGTAATCTCTCTCTCTCTCTTTCATAGTATCTTTCTCTCACTCTTTTTCTTTCGTAGTTTCTCTATCGTAATCTCTCTCTCTCTTTCTTAGTATCTTTCCCTCTCTTTCGTAATCTCTCTCTCTCTTTCATAGTATCTTTCTCTCACTCTTTTTCTTTCGTAGTTTCTCTTTCGTAATATCTCTCTCTCTCTCTCAGTATCTTTCCCTCTCTTTCTTTCGTAGTCTCTCTCTCTCTCTTAGTATCTTTCCCTCTCTTTCTTTCGTAGTTTCTCTTTCGTAATCTCTCTCTCTCTTTCATAGTATCTTTCTCTCAGTCTTTTTCTTTCGTAGTTTCTCTTTCGTAATCTCTCTCTCTCTTTCATAGTATCTTTCTCTCACTCTTTTTCTTTCGTAGTTTCTCTTTCGTAATCTCTCTCTCTCTTTCTTAGTATCTTTCACTCTTTCTTTCGTAGTTTCTTTCGTAATCTCTCTCTCTCTCTCTCTCTCTCTTTCACACTTTCTTTCGTAGTTTCTCTTTCGTAATCTCTCTCTCTTTCTTAGTATCTTTCCCTCTCTTTCTTTCGTAGTTTCTCTTTCGTAATCTCTCTCTCTCTCTCTCTTTCATAGTATCTTTCTGTCACTCTTTTTCTTTCGTAGTTTCTCTTTCGTAATCTCTCTCTCTCTCGTAGTATCTTTCTCTCACTCTCTTTCTCTCTTTCTTTCATTGTCCATTTCTTTTTGGCTAACTATTTCTTTCTCTCTATACACGTGTATTTCTCTTTAACAAATATATCTTCTGTAGTTCGTTCAGTTTCCATCACTTCCTCTCCCTTTTTCTTTCTATTTCTCTTGCTCGCTCATTTTCTTTTGTTAAACTACGCTTTAATGTCCCTTTGTGAGTACTCTCCCTTACACACTCTCTCTCTCACACACACACACACACACACACACACACACACTTTCTTTATCAAATCTCTTAATATCTCTGATCATTTAATTTCCAGCTCCATCTCTCTCGACCATGTGTACCCTCTACCGTACACCATCACTTTCTCCTTTATATTCCGCCGAGACCGTGTAATGTTTATCAAGCTTGCCTCTCTAGAACAATTACAACTGAGTAGTGAGTTCGATCCTCACTGAGTGACCCATACGTCTGTCCTGTTGCCACAAAATCTAAGCTACACTTGCAAGATCGCTATGCCTCCGTCCTTACAGGCTGGAGACAATCGTGATTCCCTCAAACGTCCTATCAACTGTATCTCTTAGAAATGTTTTTCTCGTTTACTAAGAGTAGGGTAGGTGGCTCGCTACTTTGCCTTACCTCTCTTGCTCTCAGTATTCCTTGTGAGAATTAAGTTTTCCAAGCCGTCTTTCCTTATTGTGTCGAAGCAATTTCAGTTGGCTCTTCATCATTCAAGTAGTTCTTTTTGTTGCTATTTTCCTTCAAACTTCATTGCTTACTATCTTTCTCTATCTTTGTACTATAATTATCTATCTCCTTATTTATATCACTATCATCATTATCTTTCTCAGTATCTTCCATATCTATCTCAGTACATTCATTATCTATATTTGTACGTTCATCATCTATCACTATCCATCCATTTATTTCATTATGTTCACGATCTCAGTAAGTGTATTATCTATCTCTCTATCTTTGTACGTTCATTACTATCTCCCTGCCTCAGTATCTTCCTTATCTATTTTTGTACGTTCATTACATATCTACCTCAGTATATTCATTATCCTTTGTACATTCATTATCAATCTATTTATCTGTTTTGTACGTTTATTAACTACCTGCGTATCGTTATAACTTCATTAGTTATGTATCAATATTTATGTGATCTATTTCAGTCTGTTTATTACCTAACCCACTAGATATCAATCAATCTCGGTTATGTCCATTGACTATCTCTCTAGCTATCAAGCCATCTCGGTAATTGTCCATTGACTATCTCTCTAGCCATCAAGCCATCTCGGTAATTGTCCATTGACTATCTCTCTAGCCATCAAGCCATCTCGGTAATTGTCCATTGACTATCTCTCTAGCCATCAACCAATCTCGGTTAGGTCCATTGACTATCTCTCTAGCCATCAACCAATCTCGGTTAGGTCCATTGACTATCTCTCTAGCCATCAACCAATCTCGGTTAGGTCCATTGACTATCTCTCTAGCCATCAACCAATCTCGGTTAGGTCCATTGACTATCTCTCTAGCCATCAACCAATCTCGGTTAGGTCCATTGACTATCTCTCTAGCCATCAACCAATCTCGGTTAGGTCCATTGACTATCTCTTTAGCTATCAACCAATCTCGGTTATGTCCATTGACTATCTATATCTAGCTCATTATGTTCATTATCTCTGTAACCTTGTCCTTTCATTATCTATTTATCTATATTCCACATACCACGGTAGGTGATCATTAATCCTTTGCGTGTCTTGAACAAAGTAGAAATATCTGGTCACATATACCATTCCAGTCAAAAGCCGTTGTCCTCCGACTAGAAGACTCAACAGTCTCATACACGTGGCCATTGAGGCTATCGTGGTAACGCTTCGCCTTAGCCGCTGAATACATTTTAAGACTCTAGTTCCCTATGTTCAGCACCCTGCATATCCTGAGTGTTTTTTTTCCATGTGAAGATTTAGCCTGCTGTAGCTTTAGTTTCTTCGTTGAACTCGCTCATTGGTAAAAATCTAGAAATTACTACATCTGAAGTTGCCGACATAGTTTATTGACTTTGTTATCGAACTAATTTTTTTCCGATTTTTGCGCCGCTAAATGGATCATCGTCAAAGTAATTATTGTTAAAGATTACTGTTTAGATGATAAATAATAGAATTTAATAAATAAAACAGTCTATGAATATTCTTTGAGCAATGTCGCTTCAATCCGCCCCTTTTCAAATTGCTCTAAATAAACAAAAGGAGAACCCATATAGGCATCTACTTTATACGATACCTGCTTATAATGGCCCCTTTTACTACTCTTTACCTCAATATATATGTGCACGTTGCCGAGTGGTTAGAACGTTCACATTCGAGACATGAGACCCGGGTTCGATTTTCACATGGTCGATTTGTCAGAAAGACACCTTTGGAAAGTGTCTGAAAACCATACAACGGGGTGACCCAAGATTTGTGATTGAAATTGGGTAGACGGAACTCTTGCCCGTAGATAGGGGTTCTAGCACAAATTCACAAGTCATCGTGCCCGAGGGCTTGAGCGTGCTGGTCTTGTTCAAATTGTTGATCCCGCAAGATAACACGCTCTTTCCCAGAAACTGTAACTATGGTCTGCTCAGCATAGTTACAGTATAATTCACAGGTGGGCTCTGTGGGTGTTGAATAAACACAAATGCGCCTGAGCAAGCGTCTGCAATAGGATCCTCAAATACGAGTCGCCATATATATATATATATATATATATATATATATATACGTCACCTTCTGAAGCTCAAACACAGAAGATATTGATAAAATGCTCACCATGGATGGCGGAATAAGGATTAGGAGGAATAGCAAAAACACAATTTATTAAGAGCTACAAGGGACAGGAAGTTGTGGAGGGCCATAATCGTCTACTTCCTGAAGATTTACTTGACTCCCCCACTAAATTAGGTTGTGACACATGGTCAGTTTTAACGTGGGTTCCCGAATAATCTGGTCTTAGCCGGTCATATTTTGTCCAAGCTGGTCAGAGCTCGTCTAAACTAGTCATAGCTGGTTTTATCTAGCTATAGCTTGTCCAAGCTGGTCAGAGTTCGTCTAAGCTAGTAATAGCTGGTCTTATCTTGCTATAGCTTGTCAGAGCTCGTCTAAGCTAGTCATAGCTGGTCTTATCTTGCTATAGCTTGTCCAAGCTGGTCAGAGTTCGTCTAAGCTAGTAATAGCTGGTCTTATCAAGTTATAGCTTGTCAGCTCGTCTAAGCTAGTCATAGCTGGTCTTATCTTGCTATAGCTTGTCCAAGCTGGTCAGAGCTCGTCTAAACTAGTCATAGCTGGTCTTATCTTGCTATAGCTTGTTCAAGCTGGTCAGCGTACGTCTAAGCTAGTCGTAGCTGGTCATAGCTTGACCCAGCTTACCAGAGCTCGTCTAAGCTAGTCATAGTCATGATACCACCTGTACCAGGTAAGTATGAGTTTCGCTAAGTGCGCAAAGTTTCTCTACCGACTGATATATTGTCCTCATCGTTCTTGATATTATTTTCGGATGTTTTTTTTTTTTTTTTTTTAGTGTAGTTCTTTTGTCTCCAGTGCAAACCTACTCATAAATTGTCAAAGGGGTTGATTAAAAAAACTCTTCTTTATGTGATTAAAATTCCATCCAACAAAGAGTCTTCACATCTGTGCTCTTAACACAATTAAATTCAAGAATAGGAGTAATTGTCAATTAGCTTTCTTTATTAGATTCGCGTTTTCCGTTCTTTGCTTCAAGCGTATCTGTCTATATTCCACTTTGATCGATCCGTCTGTTCAGAAAACTATCAATCGATTTGTGTAGGTATTTGGGAATATTCGATTTTATTAAGCGATGATTTACTCAAGATAAAGATTGAATGATACATATATTTGGTCGAGAATATGCTACTCATTTAAAAATCTATCGTTCATTCGTTTAATCGATACATCTGATTTATAATAAAATCTAATAATTAATCTGCATATCGATAACTGTGTTTGCGACAATGTAAACCTTTTAAAAATATTTCTAATATATATTTCACGTTTGCGTGAGTGGGAGAGTGAAATAAAGTCTGTGTTACGCCAAAAATGTTCAACCATGGAATTGCTGAAAAATAACGTTAAATACAAACACACTTTGTAATTACATTTGTCGAAATCAAAAGATTTTCACTTACATTTTTCGGACTGTTATCCTCATCTTCATTGTCATATTCCCAACGTTTCGGCAGTTCAGTATCTGTCTATATTTCTGAGATGAGGTATTATGTACACTATTTACATTATTCGGACTATTATCCTCATCTTTGTCGCCGTATTTATTACAACGTTTCAGGTGGTTGGAATGTCGAACTGAACCCTTTATTTCGCTCACTGAGGTAGACTGTTCTACTTCCACGTGCCATGTTTAATGGATATCAATTATCAGTTATCTCCTGTTAATTCCCCTCTCTAGGTTCACCACTGCCTTAACCGGGTATTGAACTCACACTCTTTGGGTCCTGTCACTGGATCTATCCAACGTTTTTATCCACTGTGCCATGTGTCCTTGAGGCGACAAAGATGAGAAAAATAGCTCAAATAATGTAAATAGTGGTTTGGCCGTTGTACGCTCCGGCCTTCTTCAGGCGTGTATTTCCAGTACGAAATATCAACTATAATAAAGTCTGAATTAATATAAATGTCGAATTGAAAATAAATCTATAAATTCTTTTGTTTCTCGAAATAACATATCTTCAGGAGAACTGATTACAAAATTGGATTCATTTTCAGAAATCACAGATGTTATGACGTAAACTTAAAAGAACGCCATAAAATAAACTCTTTTCATTATCATTAGTCCCCCGACTGCTTCAAACGCCGGCTGGACCTGAGGGTAGAAGAAGCAGCTAAACTTCTCCAGTCTGATCTATTGGCAGTGTCTCTCAGAAGTTCCGGCATTGTCATGTCCGTCCACTCTTTGATGTTGTTTGACCAGCTCTTGCGTTGCAGTTTCCACCTCTGTCCGCCTTCGACAGTGCTTTGGATGACAGTTTTGCAGTGGCTGTTATGCTGTGTGATGTGGCCAAACGATGCCGTCTTCCGAGGCTTTGTAGCCATTTTACGAAACTTTTGACCTTGCACTCTAATGTCTTTTAAGGGAAAATAAATTAACGCATTTTAAGGAAAATAAAGTATTTTCTTGTAAACCTGATTTTTTTTAAAAAATGAATCCAATTTCGCAATAGAAAGTTGATCTAATCCGGTGGAAGATAAGTGAACACAACTGAAAATCTTTTGGCTTGGTTTGGTTTTTCTTTTAAGGCATATCAACCGCAGTGGGTTATTTAATGTCGACACAATTGTTATTGCTGGTAGTATATTTTTCTTCAAAAATCTATTCTAGGAATATTCCTTCTTCAAGAAATCTATAGCTGGTCATATTTTTTTCAAAGAATGTGTAACTGTTTGTATTGTTGTTTTTGTTCTTTTTTTTTGTTTTTTATTTAATTATTACTGATAATAATTTATCCTTCAAAAATTATTGCTGATAAAAATTTTTTATTACGAAGTATTTCAGGTATTAAAACCTATTTTTACACAAGTTTGGGTGTTAACTATTTGTCCATGGCTGGGACCCTAACAGGTGCTACCACCCGGGGTCACGGTGGACCTGGGAACACCAGCAATTAAGAGGTGGCTCCACGCTCCTCAAAACCTCCCGATTGGAGGACTTTCTGTTGGACGTAGTTTATCGTCTTACCCAGGACGCGGATGTAGTTTATCGTCTTACCCAGGACGCGGATGTAGTTTATCGTCTTACCCAGGACGCGGATGTAGTTTATCGTCTTATCCAGGACGTGAAAAATCTTTTGATATCGAGAAATATAATTACGAAGACTGAATTTCATGTTTTCTTACAGAAAATCCATGCGTTTGAGGATCGATGCGATCCGGGAACTTCGGCAAGTCCGCTTCCCAGAGGAAAATATACCCTCAGTGCGCCGACGTTTTGATTAACGACCCTGACATTAGTGTGTAATTCGACCACCAGAAGGTTTGTATTATCTCAGTCAAATGTGCCAGTGGTCAAAAACACGAAAGACTGAAAAACATAGTGCCGGAATACACAGTGCTTGACGCTGTCTGGGTCGAATACGCAAAAAACTGAAAATGAATGACTTCTACCATATACTGAAAGTGAGCTCTGTCCACCCAAGGGCCTTATTTCGTTGATAGCGATAGTTCAGAAGAACAAGCAGAAGATTCGGCCAGTGATTGATTATAGGGAATTGTATGATTTGAGGAAGCATTCACTGTCAGCGCGTATTTGTACTCAGAATTAAAAGAAAGGCAGCGGCAGGAAGGGAATGTGTCCCTGTTAGATTTGAGAAAAGCTTACCTACAGATACATGTTGACAAGGCATTGTGGCCCTTTCAAACTGTGCTGATCAATGGAAAACACTATTGTCTTACGCGATTAAGATTTTGGTTAAATGTTGTGCCTTTCATTATGTGGGCTATCATCGACTTGGTCGTGTCCCAGAAAGCGCCAATCGAAAATGTCACATCAACTTACATAGATGACATTTTTAAACGAAACTGGTTTCTACTACACGGCTGAGGAACCATCGATCCAATTATGGACTTAGTCGCAAAGACCCAGAGAGACTGAAAGACGAAACCAAAGTATTGGGCCTGCACCCCTGGGGTGAGAGAGGATGGTACTCGCCGATAGAACCGAGGGAGTAAACT